GAAAAATTACTTTTGTTGTTTATAATTTTATAACTTGGGAACGAATGACTTAAAAATTATAAATCAAACATATTTTTATAGAGAATTTAACGCTCTACAAAAAAGGTCTCTTATAATTTTTCCATTAGTCCATTGGTTTAAAAGTTATTCAACGTCAAAGTTTAATTTTCATATTATTATTAATATTATCAAGGCTTTTTTATGAGGCACCGTTTGTGTCAAAATTAAAAGTGCTAAATAAACTTATTTTGTTTTATAAATAATTAATTATATGCTTTACCAAATAATTTTTTTATAAAATTATTTTTTTTTTAACTTTTTTTTTTGTAAAAAATTTTATAAAATAATTTTTTTATAAAATAATTCTTTTTTATAAAATTATTTTTTTATAAAAAAATTTTTTGCGAATCAAAAATTATTTTATAAAAGACGACGGGCGCATTTATAAATTAATTTTTACTGAAGCCTATCTATTTGTTTGTAGACACTCGAGTAAACCCGAGTAAACGCAATTTGGGGAAACGATTGAAAATAATATTTTTTTATTTTAATTCATTAATTCATTAATTTTTTTATTTACATTTATTTTGATTTTTAGTTTTTAACAAGAATTCTTTATGTTTAAACGTTTTTTATAAGAAAGCACTTGTTAAAAACTAAAATAAATAAATAAAATAATTCTCTAGAAAACAAATTAAAATAAATAAATCAATTCTCTTGAAACAAAACTAAAAATCAAAAAAAATAATTTTATAAAAAAAGAGTTATTTTATAAAAAAAATTATTTTAAAAAAAAAATATTTTTTTTTTAAAATAATTTTATAAAAAAATTATTTTATAAAATTTTTTAGAAAAAAAATATTTAAAATAAAATTATTTTATAAAAAAATAATTTTATAAAAAAATTATTTGGTAAAGCATATAATTAATTATTTATAAAACAAAATAAGTTTATTTAGCACTTTTAATTTTGACACAAACCGCGCCTCATAAAAAAGCCTTCATAATATTAATAATAATATGAAAATTAAACTTTGGCGTTGAATAACTTTTAAACCAATGTACTAATAGAAAAATTATAAGAGACCTTTTTTGTAGAGCGTTAAATTCTCTATTAAAATATGTTTGATTTATAATTTTTAAGTCATTCGTTCCCAAGTTATAAAATTATAAACAACAAAAGTAATTTTTCCTATGTTATTTCCATAGGAAACTTAGATTGGAATGCGCACTATCTTAGAGTTAATATTAAGAGCTCAGATTTTCAGGGAATTTTTTTTAATCAATTTGGGAGTATTTGAGCCCCTGGGAGCAAAGAAATTTGAAAATAACCTTATTAAGGACCACCCTAGTGTTGATATTGAATTACAATTCAATGAATTATTTTTTAATAGGTGCACAAATATTTTAATTTTTATTTGAAACTTATTTTAAGTTGCAATGTTTTTCATATAATAATGTTAATTTAACTATTTAAAACGATGTAGAATATAATTTTTATTGCTTGAATTAAAATGGTGTATAACATCATTTTAATTTCTAGAATTAAAATGATGTCGAGTAGGTATAATTTTAATTCGTGATTTAAAATATGTAGAGTATAATTTGAAATGAGCGTACTAAAATGATGTGCACATAATTTATATTCAATTAAGATGATATATAAGTAGTATAATTTTAAGTATGTGAATTAAAACCATGCACATATAATTTTAATTCCAGAATTCAAATTATACACACATAATTTTAATTCACAAAATTAAAATTATACTATCCATCGTTTTAAATGAATTAAAATTATGCTACACATAATTTTAATTGAATTAAAATTATACTATACATCATTTTAATTGAATTAAAATTATACTTTACATAATTTTAATTGAATTTAAATTATGTACATAATGTTAATTCGGCAACGCCGCAATCTAGAAATATATGCTAACGTTAGAATGTTCCGTTTTTTGGTAACTTTTCGTTTGGCTAGTGTGGTAATATGTCAGGTATTTGGTGGGAACACTGTTGGTGGGATTACAATTAAACAACTTACCTCTTTAAATCCTTTTTCCGTTGAAAAAGTAATTTAAACACAGAACTATTCTGTGATTTAAGTGCCACATTACCAACTAGCCAAACGAAAAGTTACCAAAAAAGGAACAATCTTAGCGTTAGCATACGTTTCGCGATTGCGGCGTTGCCAAATTAACATTATGTAGATAATTTTAATTCAATTAAAATTATGTACAATATAATTTTAATTCAATTAAAATGATGAATAGTATAATTTTAACTCAATTAAAATTATACTAAAATATAATTTTAATTCTAGAAATTAAGATTATATTAAACAATATTTCCCAGCAATAAAGTTATATTCTACATCGTTTTAAATACTTGAATTAATATTACCATAGGAAAAACATTGCAAGTTAACATAAGATTCAAATAAAAATTATAATATTTATAGACGTATTAAAAATAATTTATTGAATTAAAATTCAACTTGTTGAATAAAAATTGTGTTATTAAATGGTAAAACGGCATAAAATGGCAAACGAGCATTTTAAAAGATGAAAGTTTTTAGCTAATTAAAGTTATTTTTTGGGAAAAATGTGCTACTAGGTAGAAAATCTAATGTAATGCCTAGTAGCACATTTTTTTTTCAAAAAATAATTTAAAATGGCTAAAAATTTCAATTTTTAAATTGCTCTGTAAAATGGTTAAATATGAGATACGACCTTATGTGATAATTGGGACGATAAGAGAACGATTAAATATTTTTCTACCAAAATTGAAAAAAAGTTGTTTCGGGAGCGGAATTCGACCCTTACAAAAAGTGGGCCCGATTCCTTAAAAACTTTTTTCTGGTCTACTGGGTACTTCCTTATTAAAGTCATAATCGCATAGCAACATGCAAATAAGTGATTTTTAAGTTTTTATTCGAAAACCGTTTGTCCGAATAAAAAACCCTATATATCCATAGTTATATATATATATATATATCTTGGTGTTCCATACACGTACACGTCGACTGTCAAGAAATCGTCCATATCTGGACTCGTCAGTAAAAAATACAGATTACCATTCTTGTACCCAGTTTGCATATTATCTCACCCATCGTAATTTTGCTTGTTTGTGTACGACAGTTAATGGAACGTTCGAGTACTCGTCATAGCAAACGCCTACAAACCAGATTGTTATCCAGTAAACGTCACCTATTTGTTGCAATGGAAACTGAAACTCCTGTAGCATTTTCTAGGCTAGTAGATATATCTATTGAATAACAAATAAAAATCCATAAAATTTTAATAAGTCAATTGCTTAAAATGAAGTTTATAAATCAGCCAAATTGTCATTAATAAAGCCCCATGTATAAATGTTTGTATTTTTTTTTAAATTTGATTAGCGTGGTTTGGTTAAAATACCGAACCATAATATAATTTGGATATTATGGCTATAATATTATCTTTGAAATAATTAATTATATTTTTTAACGCTAGCACTATTTAAAGAAAACTTTTTCGCTCGTCAATGTGGTTTTTCTACAAACCTGCGGAAAAGTGGTACTTTCAGCACGTATCAACTTTCCGCACGGAAATCTTGCAATTTTCTTTATCAGTTTCCATTTGTAGAAAGTTTTTTTTTTTACAAATGGAAACTGTTGAAGAATATTTTAAGATTCCCTGGCTTGTAGAATAGTATATTTTGTAATAAGTTTGGAATACGGCACATTCCGCTCGAGTGAAAAGTTTGTCACACGAGCCGAAGGCGAGTTTGACGGTTTCACGAGAGCGGAATATGCAATTCCAAACGTTTCAGACTATTCTTTTTCTAAGTTTCTAAAAAATGCCATAGAGAAATAATTTTATTGGGAGAAAGTGAGGTTGGATCGGTCTAAATTTGTTAGAGATTAAACCCAGAGATGTCGCCACCAGTGTTTATTCTGTCATCAGATGATATAATAATTAATTCTGTAATACTTTCACCCATAATATAACAAGTGGTATTATTATCATCGATGATATTTTCGAATTGAAACCGAGCTGCAGATTTCACGAGTCCGCAGGACGAGTGAAATGTGTTTCTTCGGTTTCATTGGGTAAATATCACCTATTATAATAATTATTAATCATACCACGAGTTATATTTAGTGAGAAAATATAATGAATTTTAGGATTTAAAAAATTTTCAGTTTGACATTTAAAATTAAAATGTGCTTTAAAATATAAAAAGACTTTAATAAACCTTATTTATTCAAACTTTCCTTAATTTCATTATCGTTTACACCAACCCATCGATCTTTTAGAGTTTATAATTCATTATTTTAATGATATAACAAACACAGGATTTAAATGTCAACAAATGTTAAATCAAGAAAAGTGTCAAAATCCTTAGTAACGTGTAAACAAGGTGATAAAAAATATTGTATTGGCATTTTATTGGTTCTAGTATAAATGAATTGTATTGTCAGGAATATTTGTAATAGGAGTAGAAAAAAATATTTTAACACGCGCGGAAAAGTAGAACTTTCGGCAGAAGTTAAGTAAATAACATTTTTCTATCGTAATGTTATTTATTAAAAATTAAAAATTGCGCAATGTAAAACATAACAATATTTTTTTGGTAAATGTTATGAAAAAGAGAATTATAAAAAGGAGTTATTGGTGCCATACCATGCGACACAAAAAGTTATTTTTATTATAAATAAATATTTTGATAAGTAGTTTTCATTTTTAAGACTATTTATTTAATAAAAGGATAAAGAACATAGGTACGCCTAATTTTGAATCAAATTGTCAAAACATAAACACACAAGCCATGTAAATTTTATTTTGCAAATACAGTTTTGCCAAGTAAATGCTTTTAAACTGGAAAACAACTCTTCAGAAAAAAAAACTATATCAAAAATGCCCCCCAAAATCTCGTAGCATTACGCTCATTCGCCATTTTCGGAAAACCATAATATATTATACAAGATATTAAATAAAAACATTTTTCAGGTATCCTCGTTGACGTCGTCGCCAGACTCATCTCCTAGTCCGATAGCTGTGGCTCTTGGTCAAGTTAATTCGGCAATTGTTCAACCTGCGTCAAATAACCAGCAACCGGCATTGCAAATAGTCGGAGTGCAGGGTGCTCCGACTTCAATGGTTATGGGTCCCGAAAATAAACTATGGGGCCAAGCCAACTCGACCACCACTTCACCACACTCTCTTAGTCCTAAAGCATTTCAATTTGATACCTTGGTACCAGGCAGCAGTGTACCACCCTCAAGTAAGGTGTCGCCCCTAATCAGAGACTTTGTTCAAGCCATCGATGACCGGGAGTGGCAAAATTCTTTATATGGACTCCTGCAGAGCCAGACATACAATCAGTGTGAAGTGGATTTGTTTGAACTTATGTGTAAAGTGTTGGACCAAAATTTATTCTCTCAAGTGGATTGGGCTAGAAATTCTATTTTCTTTAAAGATCTCAAGGTTAGTATCCAAATACAGATGGTAAAAATGTAGGTTTTATGATAGTCCCAGTGTAAACCAAACAGTGATTAATATTTAAATTATATTTTAAAGGAACCAGTGGAAAATTATTATAATCGAATCAATTTTGTATACTGTGCATATGTAAGTTAATGTAAATCAGTTTTATAAACTTTAGATTACATCGTGATCATGATTTTTTTTTTAGGTATTTCAACTGATACGATTACATTTTAGTAAAATGTCATCATGTCAGTTGAACCTAACCTAAAAATTATGTTACAAAAGAAATATTCTAACTAAAAAAGTATACCAACGGCGGCGAAAGCTTTTTAATTGCCTCGAACACAATTTATGTAGGTACTATTTCTATTATTTCTAAATTTTGTAACGTCGCGACTCAAACACCCTCTTGCACTCGCTCACACTTTTCTGGTGTCCTAACAGGGACCTCTTCCCCTTTTCAGCCTTGTTACAACCTCAAATTTCTTCATTCAACTCTTAATTAATTTTACTGATGCAGTACGATTAATGTATCGTAAACCATGATAAGCCGAGAAAAATCCCCGCTCAGCGATCAATGAATTGTTGTTTTTGTAAAAGGCTTTCATCCAAAAAACGGGTTCTTCACACGTAAAGGGATCTATACCAACTGATTTCTCAAAGGATGACACTCATCACGAGCACATACGTTTAAATGCCGTGCAGTATCATTTCAAATATAAAAACGGAATTTCTTGAAATATACCAATCAGAGCAGTGCATTATCTCTCGCAATCTAGTGGCTGTAGATAATAATGCCATACTTCTATCAATTTTGATAGAAAAGGTATTTTTTTATTTGAAGAACTACAAGGTCGGTTAAATTAGAGAAAAGTTGCCTAATTACCTATTAGCATGAAGTTTATAAATTGAAAAAAAGCCAGCGGTTTACAAAATATTTAAAAGAAACTAAAAACCTTTTAAAACCAAAAACTGCTATAACGTTGTTATTCCTGTGATTTTAAAAAAAGTAAGTTTTACATGTAAGATACACATTAATCTATATTTTCATCCAAATATTTTTTTTTTATTTAAAAAGAAAAATTCTTTTTACATCACTACCATAATGGCCGCAATAACTGTTATTTGATACATGAATTCCATGATTTTTTTCTATCTAACCATATGAAATTCCAATATAGCGGTCATAGGAAAAACAAAAGATGATAGTGGTAGTGATGTAAAAAAACTATTTTTCAAATTAAAAAAAACGTTTTTAAAAATAATTTTTTCCTGAAAAAATAATCAAAACAATTTATGACAAAGACAAGCGTAGCCATCTAGAATTTGTTAAAGACACCATAGTAGCAAACCTCCTCCAAAGTTGGACCAAAATACTTCCCAACATAAGTAAAATGGGAGATTTCGACAGCTTAGCTGCAGTTTTTACGAGCCCTAACCACATAATGTTCGGACACTTCATAATTTATACAGAAATTTTTTTCGTGAATACTATCTCAAAATTATTAGAAGTTATGAAAAATTCAGCTTATTTTGGCATATACCCCTCGAAGCGATTTTTATTTTTAAAAAGTTTACCTTTTATTTTTAGCTTTTAAAAAAAGGCTAACTTTTTAACTTTTTTTTGCATGAGTAAAAAAAGTTATAAATGGGCCCATTAAAAAGAACATAAAATATTATACAAACCCTGAAAATTTGGTAAAAATTGTATAAATAATAAGAAAGTTATAGCGATATATATATCTGCAAAATCTCCCGTTTCCTAAGAAAATTGCAAAAACTCTTTAAAAATAGCATTTTTAAATTACTTATACTTTTTTATAACTTATTTATTTTTTACCAAATTTTCAGGGTTTGTATAATATTTTATGCTCTTTTTAATGGGTCCATTTATAACTTTTTTTACTCATACAAAAAAAAGTTAAAAAGTTAGCCTTTTTTTTAAAAGCTAAAAATAAAAGGTAAACTTTTTAAAAATAAAAATCGCTTCGAGGGGTATATGCCAAAATAAGCTGAATTTTTCATAACTTCTAATAATTTTGAGATAGTATTCACGAAAAAAATTTCTGTATAAATTATGAAGTGTCCGAACATTATGTGGTTAGGGCTCGTACTACTGTTAACTTTCGGAAAATACGGGATTTTGTGGTTATGTTCCCATCAAAACAATATGTTTATCGAGGGGTAAACCACTTTAAAATCTTAGAGACCAACGTTCAATGTTAGTGGACGTTGTGTTGAGATTTTTTTCCTTATCAGTCGTTATCAATAAGGAAAACTTGCTTAATCGGTGCTTAATCAGTGCTTAGCGACGCGTTGTACATGACTACCCTTGTTATTGTTATCCTTAGCCGTTAATTCGTAAGCGATTTTTAATTTTAAAAAATCAGTGGTTTACCCCTCGATGTTTATAAACATATAAACAATCTTACAATTTACCCCAGCGGAAGTCTCAAAATGTATTGTCTCAATATACTCATTGTATAAACTAAAAATGAACTCATACACTGATTAGACTAAAAATAATAAATTATGTAATATTTTTAAGGTTCACAATGGCAAGTATGTCCGAAATTTACTCCAAAAATGCATATATATATTGACTGCGGCACGTGTCGTCCGTGGCATGGGTCTGTCTTTATGTCAGTGCGACAGCAAAGTCAAGCTGAAATGCCCTATGTGCTAAAGCGATAAATTAATAAGTTCCAAACCGATTTAAACGTAACATGTAGCTGTAAGAATGATTTTAAAAGGAGCGTAAGATGTCACTACTAAATTGTAACATGCCGCACAGAACTAATGTTAGGTTGAGTTTTTACCGGTTTTCCAATAAACAGTGGAAATCCAAGGAAATTGCGTACAGTCCCTGTAAATATAAATTAATTTATTGTACAATTGTACCTATTAGATACAATAAATACACATTTTAGTAAGGATTTACGTGAAAATTGTAAACATTTCAATTCAGTAAAATCATAAAACAAATACTTAAGTCGTCTAATTTAAACAGCGTTATGCATTATTAAAAGCGTTGATTGAGAAAGTCTCCGCTCAACGGTAAAAACGGGTATTACATGTATTATATATAATATTATGTTGCCATGAATTCCTAGATATATTTTGTCGTTTACTTAAAATGCAATTGTCAGCGTTTTTTTAGAGGATTCAAATATAATTTTTTTTGTTTTTAAGGTTATGTTTTGACAACTATTATTTTTTTATGGATTTCTTAAAAATGTCCAAACTTAAATATAAATTATATTAGGTGAAGTTATCATTAGGTAGTTAATTCTGCACCAACAAATATACGTACCGAATTGAATCCTTTGGCAAAACATGAAAATGCAACGATTTAGTTATTGAATTACATTTACAATTAAAAACAATAATTCACCATTAGCACTTGGAAAATACATACACTAACGTAACTATACAAGCATATAAGCGTTGAGTTTCTTAATCAATGATATAAGGAATAAATAAATCGAAATCGAGTACTAAACCAAAGTTTTGCAGTTTTTACTTGAAACTCGAAAAACAAATAACGTGCGCGATTAAGCTGTGCAATTGAAACTTTGCGAAAAAAAATATGTCGAGTAGGACTTCTGCTTTCCTCTCTTTTGTAAAAAAAACTTATTTATTTAAAAATGATGTGCAGTTCTTGATTTCCCACTATGATATCGAGCTCCACCAGATGGCGCACGCATTGCGAAAACCCTACGCTTCTTTAGCCTATAATATCCCTATATTTCATGTCGACGTCGACATTCTAAAATGCCTATAATAACGTTATTTTGCAATGATTTAGCATTGTCAGGCATCATCCTAACCCATTTAGGATAAAATTATATTTTAAGATTTATGGAAATTAAAAAACGGTATTTTAGTTTTGATGGGACAGCATGTCGAGATTTTTGACAACGTCGACATTTTCGTCAACGTCGACATCCTCAAATGCCTCTAATGATGTTAATTCGCAATGATTTAGCTTTTCCCGATATTTTCTACACGTATTACAAATATAATAATACTCTGATATCCATATAAAAACGATAGAATTATCGGTATATCATGTCATGTGAAAATCCTGGGCCCTAAAGTCACCGATGTCGAGTAACGACATTTTTATCATCATTTGCGCCGACATGTCTTGTAGGGATGCTATAAATAGTATTTTTATAGCCTAATAAGTAGGGATGGGATTTTAGTTATTTTACCTTTTTTTAACCGATGTAACTATTTGAAAACCAATAATGCCAAAGTGTGTTTTAAAAGATTTTCTTTTATATGAACCTAACTTGTTTTCACCTTTTTTACCTTTTTTGGAGGTTTTTGCTTTTAACTACCTTTTTTATACTTTTGTTACCTATTTTTTAAACTTTTTTTCACCTTTTTTACCTTTTTTGGAGGTTTTTGCTTTAAACTACCTTTTTATATTTTTGTTACATATTTTTTAATTTGTCAGTTTATTTTCATATATTTGTTACCTATTTTTACGTATTTTTACTTATTTTATTTTTTTTGTTCTTTTTAAAATTTGCGCCAATATTTTATCCAGGGCGTGCAACTCAACGGTATAGAGTTTTTTCTTATGGTAACAGACTGTAACAGTCAACTTTTTAGTGACTCACTACTAGTGAGTTCTGTCATAGAACTTCTGTGTAGTGAGTGTCACTCAGTAAAACACAGTTTATTGCATATAAATAGTTTATTGTGGGTATGTTCTGTGTTTGGGTATGCGGCTAAACAAAATTATAAACAAAACTTAAACTTTTAATTTTTTTTTACCTAAAATGCTGTTTTTTAACCTAAAATGCTTTTTTTTAGTACCTTTTTAGTTACCTATTTTTCAGTTTTTAGTACCTAAATATCCCATCCCTACTAATAAGCATTACTTATAAATTGCTGTTAAGAATATTTGTTATTCAATCAAGCCGAAACGGCTAAACGGTAATGATGGAAGTAAAGGTGATAATGCCCTTTTTATCCCCCAATAA